GAATCACTCAGGCGCTGTGATCGCGTGACAATCGTCTGTGTTCCGCTGTGTCTGCCCTCCTCCTTGCTCCAGGAATCCCACGTCGCGCGGTGATCGCAGTGACACCGCTGACTGTGTTTTCGCGTGGTCTCCTCCCTCCTCTCCAGGAATCCATCTCGAGCGTGATCTCTGTGACAACCGCTACTGTGGTTCGCGTGGTTTCCTCCTCCTCTCAGGAATTCCACTCGCGCGTGCTGAATCCGTGACAACGTACTGTGTTCGCCGTGTCTTCCTCCTCCTCTCCAGTGAATCACTCGCGCGTGGTGATCGGGTCCGGCGTCTGCGTGACAACGCCGTACTGTGTTACGTGTCCCCTTCCTGCCTCTCCAGGAATCCACTCTGCGCGTGATCGGGCGGCTGTTGAGAATTGGATGGGCCTGTCTGTGGACAACCCGCTACTGTGTTCGCGTGTCTCCTCCTCCTGCTCCAGGAATCCACTCGTGCGTGGTCGCGTGACAAGCCGCTACTGTGTTCGCGTGTCTTCCCCCTAGCCTCTCCAGGGAATCCATCTCGCGCCGTGACTCGCTGTGACAACCCGGCTACTGTGTTCGGCGTGTGCACCTCCTCCTCTCCAGGAATCCACGTCGGGCGTGCGTGATCGTGTGACAACCGCTACTGTGTATTGCGCGCTGTCTCCTCTTCCTCTTCCAGGAATCCACGTCACGCTGCATGAGGTCGGCGTGTACAACGCTAGCTTGTGTTCGCGTGTCTCCTCCTCCTCCTCCAGGAATCCACTCGCGCCGGTGACAACCGCTTACTTGTGCTTCGCGTGTCCCCCTCCTCTCCAGGATCGCGACTCCGCGCGTGATCGCGTGGGACAACCGCTACTGTGTTTCGCCGTGTCTCCTCCTCCTCCCTAGCCCGAATCACTCGCGGCGTCGATCGCTGTGACACAACGTACTGTGTTCGGTGCTCACGCCTCCTCTTCCAGGAATCCACTCGCCGACTAGCCGTTGACCAACCGCTACTGTTGTTCCGCGTGTCTCCTCCCTCCTCTCCTAGGTAATACACTCGCGGGCCGTGATCGCGTGAAAACCGCTACTGGTGTTCGCGTGTCTCATCCTCGCTCTCCAGGGATCCACGTCGCGGCGTTGGACACCGCTACTGTGTGTGTGTGCGCGTGTCTCCTCCTCCTCTACAGGAATCCACTCACGCGGGTGACTCGCGTTGACAACCGTGTAACTGGTGTTCGCGTGTCTCCTCCTCCTGCTCCAGGAAGCCAACCTCGTGCCGCTTGTGACTTCGCTGTTGGATCTCCAACCCTCTCCACTGTGTATCGCCGGTGTCTCCTCCTCCTCTCCAGAATCCACTCACGCGTGATCCGCTCGTGATCAAGCCGATACTGGTTTCGTTTGTCTCCCTCCTTACCTCTCCAGGAACTGGCCGCTCACTGCGGCGTGATCGACGCTGCGAAGCCGCTACTGTGTTCGGTGTCTCCTCCTCATCAGACCCTAGGGTCTTTGACAGGATCAAGGCCATACCAGAATAGCATCACGTGGCCGATGCAAGACACAACTTCAACAAATTGGGTCGCGATTCCTCACTTTCACGCGAGACATAAAATGTACCGAGAAGTCGTTCATTACTTATAGTTGCTATAAGCCCTCGCGCTTGCACTAATATTCAGCATGATATTCCTAAATTCGAACCACCGAATATTAACGTGACACTAGCTACAAAACGCGTATCACACGCTCGTATTTTTTACTACTTTGCTCTATTATGTGCTGATTTAACTCCCCTCCTCTAATTCCTCTATTATGTGCCGTACATCCCCATTATCCACCTTTGCCTTCTCCCCTTTCCCCTCTGCAATTTCCTCCCCTACCCCCTCTATCATCTTAAGTGCTACCCCATGATTTACCGCATTTTCTCCACTCTACCTATACCCTTTCACCATCTGCATTATTGCCTCCTTTCTACCGCCCCAGCCTTTGCTTCGTCTACTTTCTTTTCTTTGTGTCCCGCCTTCACACTTTCACCTTTCTACTCCTACCTTCTTTCGCCTGCTCTAGCTTCTCCCCTTCCTTTACCCTTACAAATATTTTACATCGTGTACCTACGTCCTCATCATATACCTTTCTTCTGTACATCCTTCTTCCTCTACTCTACACCCCCACCGCACTTAGCCCGTCGATCACCTTACCTTCCGTATACCTCTTCTAGGCCATGTACTACCCATGTATACCTACACCCCTCCCTCCATCTACCATCAGAGTTCTACATCAGTCAATTGCCCAAGTTTTTCAGTGCACCTCACTTTCACCCGATAGATGGCGCGAAAACGTCACAGTAAGCAGAGAGTACATCTCTATCCGAAATTTGTAGAACCTATCGGCATCGGACCGACTCAATGCATCTTTAAAGGGGTGGACACACTAGCCGATTTTTCGTGCGGTCGAGAAGGCCGGCTCAGCCGACCGGCGAGACCGCATGAAAAATCGGCTAGTGTGTCCACCCTTTTAGGGCAGGTCCGACAGATTTTACTAGTATGCCAGACCTATTGTTCCGCACTGTTTCCCACTACTCGGCACTCAATGCTCATTGCAAACAACGAAAAATAGCAAAGTTGGTACGACACAAGTCAGCTTACGGTTGAACCCATTGACCGGTATTGAAAAAAATATTTTGCATTCCCTGCAACCCCGGACACACTAGGCGATTTTAATGCGATCTAATCGGGCGACTTTATCGCCTGATAATATCGCCCAATTCTATCACGCCAGTCGAGTGGACACATCACGCGATTTAGTCGCGTGACTGAAATAATCGCCCGATAATATCAAAACGTTTTGATCCATGCGATTGAATCGGGCGACTAAATCGGGCGACTAAATCGGCGGCAACTGACTGGACACACTAGGCGATTTTCATCGGCGATCGAGTCGCCCGATAAAATCGCCTAGTGTGTCCGGCCCTTAAGCAACCACCTGATCGAAGCAATATCTAAGATTTTTACAAGTGCTAACATTGTGCCTCGCTCTGCTGCTTTCGGCTCCACACTTCTCCTAAATATACACTTCATTCCTCGCGTAACTACATATTATTTGACACCCGATTACGTCTACTTTCCACGTAGGTGTCTACATAGTCATCAGCTCAGACTCTGTGTATGAAGTTTCCGTGCCCAAGTCACACGAGGGCCCTAGTGTTGAGACGGATGCCGTGAGACCACAAGATCCCGCAGAACAGCAGAGACTCAAGGTCGCAGACTCATACGGCCATTATAAGTTCGCATGCGAGGAGGTGAGGGAATGGCAAGTGGTGAATTATAATAACACGCACAAGACATTCACTCGTGCAGCTTAAGTTATTTACGTAGATTATATATGTGTTACTCAGAAAGGCTTCACAAAACCCAATGTATAAACGTTCGGTGCAGATCCGAGTGGCAACATTACCAGCCCACAATGGCACTATTACGGACATATACCGATAACTACCTCGACATCTGTCCTGCGCAATTGAGTCACTGACACATACTTTGTTTCATTCACAGAACTGCGTAGTATATAGTTCAATGATGCAAGATACAGATGACAGTATTATCTATTAGGTTACTATCCTTATTACGATCCATGCATCGTGGTGAAATCCTCTCTCACCACCATGACGGCTAATGGCATATACCTCTACCTCTAGGTTTTGGCCGAGCAGAAGAACAAAGATGGCGGATTTCCTTACGTGGCACTACGACCTCCAGATGTCATCGGTGAGCTTATTTAAAATCTTTCATTCTAGAGTCAAGACGGTTGTCTGGCGTTTTATAATGATCTTCCCCTATATATCTTACAGTCACCTTTATCATCTGCTATCCCTTCCTATTTTCCCTTTTCGCGCCCTTACCCACAATCTCCTCTCTCTCTCTCTCTCTCCCTCCCCCTCTCTCCTAAAGCATATGTTTTCTGACTCTACTGTAGCAACGCTAATGTCATTCTGCGACCGCATTTAGCACCAGCACACACAAGCTCATTTTACACTATTGCCAGTGACGACCCGCGTAATCATATCTCACCACACCACGGCAGTGAAGACGGATTTATCTAATGGACACACACCAATATGTTTAAAACTTTTCCGCAGTAAAACAACATTAGCTCGGCTACAAACTAGATTACACAATGGTGGCGGCCCACTGTCCGCATAGTATGTGTCATTTGCAATGATAATTACATTTGGAGATAACACCGTGGCCGTATCACTACATTAGTTGGGCGACCGTCGGCAAAAGAACTGGTTTCAACTTCAGATGCTAAAACAGCTGTTCCACCCTGAACATATGCACATTGGCCGAAAATGAGGATATTTTCCCGAAGGACTGATGGCCGCCCTGCTGCGTAATCTATCGGACATCCAACATCATTACCTACGTCAAACCTATGCCACCTACGTTCGTGGCGATCCACGTGGCCGAGAGAGGGTTCGGAAAGGCGTAAACACGTACCATCATTTCTCGCCATTGGCTGTCCCCTCGTTCCCACTCCTAGAAACTTGACCATCGCTATGATTCCAACCCTCTACCGTTCCTGTAGTCGGCGAGTGATTGGGAGAGACATATTTGGTAAGATGTTCCCGGCTCAGTTTACGAAGGGCGGGTATAAGAGAGCTTGCGCGGAAGAAAACGGGGCTCTCGTGTATTCCTCTCTTTGTGACTAAAGTGTATGTGCATTGTGAAACCTATCTTCTACCCTGTGTAATTTGTACGACGTTTGTTTTAGTGAGTATACAATATGGCCCAAGGATAGAGAACATGGGTCCCAATAAAAGCAATGTGCCTAACCCTAACCCTAACCCTAAACCCACTAACCCTATTATATTGATATAATATTTATATTGATGTAAATGACAATGGTTTTATTGGGACCCATGTTCTCTATCCTTGAACCTACAATATATCGTGAAACGGCAGTTTGTAACCAACATCAGTCTACTCTCATTTTATTATCGTATTTGTAAATTTAGTCAAGCAATTACACGGCGCATATAGCATTTACCTATGAGCGCACAGTTGTCTGGCAACAGAATAACCCAGCGACTACACTACCTTACGTCTCTCTTAGTCTTATATGTATATATATATATATATATATATATATATATATATATATATATATTCATTTATACTTATATTTATACTTATATATAAGCCGCGTTCACACGTAGCAAGAAATCCGGTATTTAGCGTTCACACGAGGCAAAATGCGCTGTCCAAGAAATACGGTATGTAAACAGATCCGTATTTTGATGTAAATACGCGACTTCCCAGACCCCGATAAATTTGCCGTGCCTGAGAAATACCGGATTTCTTGGACGCGCCATTTCCTCGTGTGTGAACGCTAAATACCGGATTTCTGAGCCACGATTTTATAGACTGGTCCCGCCGCTCGACAGTTCCAGTGTAATGCGAGTGAACTGTCGAGCGCTGACCAGTCTGCGAGTATTTTTTTCCCAGTCGACATAACATAGCGAAGAATTTAGGCCTTCTGATTGGCTGCTTCGATTTGCTTTGCCTTTGACAGAGACAAACGACCATTTGTAACATATGCGAAGAATTGCGACTTATTTTGCCAATAATAACCTAACCCTAACCCTAACCCTAACCCTAATCCTAACCCTAACCCTAACCCCTAACCCTAATTAATTTAATGAACACTAATAAATGAAATAAATTATTAAAAAAATTTTTTCATTAAAATATTTTAATTGTTGGTAAATCAATCATGCAAATATTTCCGGTTAATTAGAAAACAATAGTTAAATGATAAAGATAGAAAAATACAGAAAACAAAAAAATATTAAAACCAAACGGGATTCGAACCACGACCTTTCACACGTAACGGCGGTGTGCTAATCCACACGCCACAGAGGATATATAAGAAACAGGTACATGACATATGCTAGATAAGCAAACACGCGCTGTTTTTTGAAGCAATTCAGGAGGCAGGATTGAACCAATCAGAACCAATCAGAAGGCGGCTAAATTCTTCGCTATGTTATGTCGACTGGGAAAAATAAACGAGCGACCCGTCTACGTATTTTATCGGCCAGTTGGTGCGCATTGCATTGTTGATTTCGCATTGTTCGCTTTGATTGTTTAAAGCAGTCGCAGCTCGCAAATACCGTATTTCTGGAGCCGCGAATCAGCGTTGTGAACGCTCGGGCCGCGTATTTGTCTCAGATTCGGTATTTCGCAAATACCGTATTTCATATAAATACGAGTCTCGTGTGAACGAGGCTATAGTGCAATCCCGTATTAACAGATTAATGAGGATAAAAAAATCGCTCGGCGTAAAATGGAGGGATCGCGTTAAGAAATAAACAACATAGCTGCGAACATTTGACAAAAGTAAAGAAAGATTAGCCTCGTCACACGAGACCTCGCATTTATGAAATACGGTATTTGCGAAATACCGAATCTGAGACAAATACGCG